TCTCAACTTGTAATGGTTCTTTATGATTAAATAAATAAACGACACCAACCTGATTGCGGGATTAAAAAAAAAAAATAGATATTAATATTATCAATATTAAATAAATAAATAAAATATTTAATATGTAATATTAGTATAAATAAAATAAATACTTTTTAATTCATTACTAATATTATTTCTTCTAAACTAATATTGTTAAAGATTTTATTATGAACTATTAATAATTTTATTTATTTCATTAACAAATGAAAATATAACATTTTTTGAATTTTAAAAGATTATCTTGTTCATTTAACAAAAGAAAAAGAAATTCATGTCATATGAATGAAATTAAAAAAAATAATTAATTTTATGAAATAATTTTTTTAAACAATAACATAAATAAATAATAAATAATAAATAATAAACACGTACAGTATATATAGTTTTAATAAATAAAATAAACATTTACAGTAAATAAAAAATTGCAGTCTGATTAAATAAATAAATAAAAAAAAAATCATTATGCTTTTAAAAAAATATTTTTTTAATAAAGCTATTTTTATTTCTAATACTATAATTTACTGTATATTAATAACTTAAGCATTGATCAGGACAAATTCGCTTGCGTGGTGACGCACAAGTGCCATAGGGGGGGTGTTACATGCATGAGGTAAATTTAAAAAGCCGAAGATCTCATGATATGATGTACAGTAATGTCTACTACCACCCAACTTTTTGAGAAAGCAGATAAGTTGTTTAATGAAATACTTAACATTTGCGATAATTCTATTCATAATGAAAAAGTCTTTGTACTCCTTAAAAATCGTATGGTACATGCGAAGAAAGTTACTGGGATCTTACAGAAAAGAAAACCAGAAAACGAGAAAAAATATGATATTACACTTAATTGCTTCGTAAAAGTCTTAGAAAGGATAAAAACATTTGCGTTTGATATATCAAGATTAAGTGGTCACAATAAATACTTGACTGTGAATTTAATTAGGGATAGATATACAAAAGTAATTAATGAATTTGATTCGGTAATGAATGAATTGCAACTTATTCCAGCCTTTCACGAAGAACGAGGAAAAAATAAACAAGATACTGTTTGTTCCGTTGTTTCTGAAACGATGAAGGTAAGTAGAACGATCGATCTAAGGTTTAGATAATTTTTTATTTATATTCATTCGTATACATGATATGCATATAATGAAAATTTCGCTACTAGTTCATAAATATAGTCGAAGAGGACACTGATAACACCCTTTTTCAAGATCTGGTGATGATTAAAAAGCAATTGGAACGTGTTGAAAATGATAAGGTCGAGCATAATGAAGCATATGAAATAAATTCAAACGAGTTGACGGATTCTTTGGTTAAAAAGCCAACCGATAAAAAAGGACTTGTTAAAAAATTATACAAGTCTAATGAGGTTGCATGTAAAACCATAACTGCTGATAATAACCCTTCCAAAATTAAAATTCAACTTTCTTTATTGAGAAGCTTTCGAGATTCACCATATATTATCAAATTTTTCGGTCTTTCACAAATCAATAATGAACGGGTTATGGTTCTAGAATGGGCAGAACTTGGCTCTCTTAAGGATGTTTATAATAAATATGACATTCCATTGGATCGTAAAATACAAATAGCCCTCCAAATTTGTCGTGGTATCGTATCGTTAAATTTTTGCGGGATTTTTCATCGTGATATCAGATGTCAAAGTATCTTGGTAAGACTTAATTCGATAAACTATTAAAAGAAATTATTTGGTGCCATCAGATTTTCTAACAAACATGCGTCTAGTTGACCTTCAAACAAGAACCAAAAATTTCAAATTTCAAACATGTTCAAAAACATACGGATGAGGAAAACAAAGTGAAACACATGAACATGAATTGGATGGCTCCCGAAATTTTAGAGAAAAGTTCTTCCTATACTCCCAAATGTGAAGTTTTTAGGTAATTATGAAATTATTACTTGCTTAAGTCAGGGTTTTATTTACATTAACTTACCAATATGACATTGAAAAATAGTTTCGGAATGTTACTCTGGGAATTTGCCTTTGAGAGAATTCCGTATATGTGCTTTAGAATGGAAAAGATGAAGGCGCATGTGCTATCCGGAAAAAGAGAACAAATCTGGTGGGGCAAAAATATACAAAATATCCAGAGTAAAAAAGACTACGAAAATATTATAAAAGACTACGAAAATATTATTGTAGATGGTGAATCTCTTATTTCTCTATTCCTCAGCTTATTTCAATCTGGCAAATTGTTTATTGACGTAACAATTTATTAAAAGCTTGGCAGGCAGATCCAGCGATTCGACCATCGCTTCATGATATTCTTATGCGTCTGAGTTGTCTAGCTGGAAGTCAAGATAAATTAGCGGACATTCCTAAACTTTTGACAAAGCAAGGTTCAGGAATAATCTCTCCTATCGAGAAAGGTATTGAAGAACATAATAATAAATGCGCAAAAGATGCATATGAATTCTTTGTTAATCTATCACTATACAGTGACACGCACACAAAATATCGTGCAAAGTATTGGCAAGGGTATTATTTGTGGGAAGGAAGTGTTGAAAGTAGAAATCGTGAGAAGGCTCGTGAGTTATTTAAAGAAGCAGCTGACGGTGGTATAACCGAGGCTCAATTATATTACGCATTTTCACTGGTTAATCAACGTGAACTGAAATTAGAGAAAAATAATCGGGACGAGTTTCTTAAATACATAAAAATGGCTGCAGATAACGATAGTCCTATAGCGCAATTTTATTTAGGAGATTTATATTTAAATGGAAAACTTGGTGAAAAAAAAGATATTGAATTAGGAAAACAATATCTAAAGCTCGCGGCTGCCAATGGTCATAAAAAAGCATTGAAAGGAATAAGATAAATTAACTTATAACGCTAAAATAAAATAAAATAATTCATTTATATTGTACTGCATTATATTTAAGCAATCTTAGTTTTAAAAAAGTGCAAAATAGAGAGGCAGCATAAGAAAAAAAAAAAAGACACTTATAAACGCAATTTATTCCTTCATTGATAAACCTTGCATCCCATCCAAAATTTCATCCAATTTTTTGGTGAGACTCTTGATTTCGTCCGTTAAAGTTTCAATCTTACTTATCTGTTGTAGTTCCATAATCGACTCCTGAACTGATCTTTTAATTAAAGATTCCATTTTTTGCGACTCCACAGATTCTGCAGGTTCCATTTGAATTGCATTAAGAAGACCTTGAAAAAGCTTGAGTTCGTCCCTTGGAATTTCCTTTAACATTTCACGAATCATGGCAACGTGGGCTTCAAAATAACTTTACGTCCACGTCAGCGGTCAAAAATCAAAATTTAACTATTGGATTACAAAAATTAGTATTTATAAATTACTTCACTCACACAATTTCAGGAAACCAATTTTTCTTTCTTCTTTGATACGGTAGCATGCAAAATAACTCAATTTCGGCCAGAACCTACAAATAATTTGCAAAGAAATAACAGTATAGGATGGATCAGTTTATTTTTAATCAACCTTCTTCTATTGTAAAAGTAAAATTATTAAAATTCTCACTTCGGCTTTTAGAGCCAAAAAGGATTCCTTATTGTTTGTATCGTTAATTGCATTGCTAAGCAACCCGATAAATAAATTCATCAAATAGATAGTGGTAAAAAACGATAATGAAACCAGTAATAGAACCAAGGTCAAATTTTCGGTTGTAGACCATGACGAAATTGAACTCGTATCTCCTGTTTCATTAAATTTAAAGAAATACTATGTTATTAAGAAAGTCACCTTAATGTACAATCCAAAAAAAAAAAAAAAAAAATACAATACCTGTCAACATGAGATAAGTGGCCAATATAGAACTCAAAAGCCCCGTGAACATATTTGTGCTCTCATCGGGAAGTTCAATAAACGAGGTGCCTTCTAGAAGAACACCATCAGAAATAGTTCCATATTTTTTCGCCAAATTCCAAGGATTATTTGGATCACTCGAATCGGTTAAAACATCCAACGAATAATCTGTGGTTGGCCTCAATAATAAATATAAAGAATTTGCAAATGCAAATAGAATGATTCCTAGGATGACTAAAAAGGAAAAGACCCTGCCGGCAACTCCTATTATTATTGCAAAATAAACACCGAAGTAATCTAGAGCCCGAAAGTAGAATAAAAATTTTAATTCTAACAACAAAGTTGAGATGGTAGCTTCCCAGGTTGGAATCGTCCCACTTTGAAGCCATATACATGACGTCATAATCGGAAATATTATTGCACCCAAGTCTAAGATTATAAAGGAATAAAACGTAAATTTTTTTTTTTTAAATAATAATAATAATAATAAATAAATTAATTAATTAAGATAATTATTTTATACCAAAATAGTTCCAAGGACTAGTAATATAGAAAATTGGTGAAAATATTAGTTGTCTTATTTCAAAAATTAAGTGATAAACCCCAAGTGCGATTACACCCTCTAATAGATATCGCTGGACGTTCCATGGAATCTGATTAGATAAGGTTGCCGCAATCACAAAACTGCAAAGGAAAATTGTATATATCCCCCAAACAATAAAATAATATTTCCTTCCGTATGTATTCCATTTAAAGTTAAGGAGAGCCTCGCCAATTAAAATTTTATATAGGTCGATGTTATAAGACATTACAAAGGGGCTTGGTGCCGGATAAATAAAATCCATCAAAGAATTATATGAATCAGGATAAGTGACAAACTTGGGTAAAGGGATCATTAACCGGATCGTTAAATTGGGCTCGGATTTGAAAGTAGATATTCCTATTTTACTAATAAAATCACGAGTCTTACGATAAAATAACCAGGAGATAACCCGATCAACTGATGATGTTTCAGAAATTTGGATGTAAGTTCCGTAATGATGAAGGTGTTTAAATGTTGAGTAACGATTGATTAATTCCAAATCTTTATTACGACAGGGTACAACAAAAGCCAAACGAGATAAGAATTCTGAGACATAGGCTCTATAGTTTTGGGATAATTCCGGAAATGATGTGGCAATAATACCTAAGAATATTGTGTTTTTTATACGTCCATGTTCAATGCTCAATTCAATGCATCTTTTCAATAGCTCATAAATCATTTGATCTTCTTTTAGGTCTATCAATCGCTTGATCCACGGCGTTCCATAATGGGCAAGAAACATTTTGTCGTTTTTATAATAATCTATCCATTCCTGACGACACACGGGATTAAGATGAGAATCTTTGAGTACCAAAGTAAAGTTCATCGTTGGAAGATAATTTTTCGATTGTGCGCAACTAAGTAAAAAATTTTTTAACATGTTGATTATGCTTGATGTTTCGAAATTTTTACGTTTTAGCTCATTGTCCCAGAAATAAAGTAATTGAATTCTTCTTATTTCGTTTTTCGAATTCACCGTCCATATATAAATTCCAGCGCGTGTTATCATAGCTAGATTTTCATTCGCAAGTGGATTACAATTTATAATGAAATCTTTTCCATAATTTTCTTTATGTCTGGAAAATATTCTCTTCGGTTCTACTCTTCTCCATTTTTCCGTTTTGCTTTCGAATTCGTGTGCCGCCAACTCAATGTATGCGGATTCGTAATCGGCGTCGATTCTTACAATCCATTCTAGTAAAGACCCTTCATAACTGTACTGAAAACCGAGCCCATCGTCATAGGGTTTTAATTGGTCTTTGAATGTTATTCCGGTGATATTATTTTTGATTTTGTCAACCATATCTTTGACTTGCGAAACTTCGTAGGAAGAACCGAAACCCTTGAAATCTTTTAGCTCTTTCCTTAAATGCTTAATCCATTCATCTGGTATTAACGACCGAATACACAGATCCTTTTTAAACCAACCAATAACCTTATCTAATTGTATGACATATGGCATACCAGTTTCCACGTTCCCAAAAAGTTTTTTTGCGCCTTTAAGATTATCTTGAGGATGTAATTCGAAAGGATCAACTATATTGCAATTTCCCCATGTCCCTGATATCATCATTCGCTCGCCAATATCAGTGCCAATAAAAGATATCTTAGAATTCGATTCCTCTACTATGTTATGTACAGTATATATACACAGTATTGCGTTAGTTGTAATTTTAACCGACTTTTTCTCTTTTTTCTCTTAACAAATATTACTTACGTCGTGTCAACCTCATTCCAAGTTCCATTGAATAAATAAATAGCACATCTAATTCCTGAACTACTAACAATGTCGAGTTTCTGTTCTGTGTGATTCTACAACGTTTAGAGCTCTCTAGCATGTATTGTTGCTCAAGTACTAAACCATCCAAATTCCATTGCGATAAAATTAAAGTATCCTCGATGGCCAGAAACAATTTTTCATTAAAATCTATGTAACTCCATGTAAAGTACTTTAATTCAATCATTCTTTTGCAATTCCAATTATCACTATCCCTTTTATCATAGGAAAATATATAGGCACGATATATCGGTTCCCCTTTGACAACTATGAAGTCATCGTTTTTAATAAAACTCCAACTGTCCATTTTGTTTTCAAGATCTGGTGCACTTAATCTATTCTGATTTTCTGTGTTTAAATTATAAATACCTATAGTGTATATTTCAAATGAAAAATTAGTAAATAATTCAAAAAACCAATGTTTAATATCAATTGAAATATATACTGTATTTGGACCCTACAAATATTATCGGTTTTTAAGTGTAGCGCGAGATGTTTACTATCGGATATGGTTAAACGAGAATGCGAATAAAATTCATAGATCTCTGTCGGATGTAATTCGAGCTCTTTGGGTATGATTTTTTTGCCTGCTAATTTTAAATTTGTTTGTCCCTCGATTATTTCCCATAACCTCAGACGTCTGTTAGTTTCTTTCCATGTTGCTACAACGGTCATAAGTGGCGAAATAATAATGTCTTCTGATTCTATCTCATCGTCATTATCTGATTCTATCTCATCGTCATTATCCGATTCATTTTCACCAGTTTTATCAACTTTAATAGTGATTCGACTAAGAATTTGCTCAAAAGTCAAATGACCTTCTCTTTCTTCATGCATCATCATCACGAGGCTTTTCAAGAAAAAGAGTGCGGACTTTTCAGAATAGATTATTTCTGATGCGTTCAAGAAATTTGAAGTAACGATTGCGACTAAATAAACAAAGTGACTTTGTATCGTGCTGGATATAAATATTAGGAAAATAAACAATTTGCTGTGTATAAAAATCAAGTCAACAACAAGCCCAATTTAACCATCGCCTTAGAGTTTTTTTTTTTCTTTGTCACATAGTTTCATAGTTGAGTACTGTATCGAGTCGGGTTCGGGTTTAACCCGATATGGCACGTACATATTTCGGATCGATCATCATCGCGAGTTACTGTTGTTATCGGGTAAACAAGATCTTAAATAAAATAGGTATAGAATAGATAAACTTGGATTGGATGGTCATGTTCTTAAACTTGTTGAATAATTGGTTGAAACCGCATCACTTGTAACTTGCATCGCGCAAACAAGACAGAACCGGGTTCGCCTAAGGGATTGGCAAGACGCTGGGTTCACGAGTAGTTTGTAGATTGAACAAAGTTACGCCAGCCAAGTTAAAACCGCCTCAGGAGTTAAAGCCTTTAGATTATTATTAGTCTTTCGTGGGACGTTACGCGAGCTGAGACCTGACGTAGCGACAGACTCGCCGATCACCCCGTAGCACTGTATACGTACAGTAATAACAAAATATGGGTTTCTAGTTATTTAGAAGTGTTATCATTGTAACTAGCGAGTTTGTCGTCATCTCGGGTTATTTCTTGCGCCATTTAAGTGAATCTTATGGGATTAGGTTCGACTCTTGAGGCAATTTTAATCTGGATACTTGCTAACTTTCTCTCTGCCAGAAATACTAATTCTTCTGCTAAAAATCCCAAGCTCCGATTTCTCTATCAGCTGGACCAACGATGTTACAAGTATATTGGACACTCGAGTAACGCGATGAGTTATTATTAAGGTTTGAAATTTACTAAACATTACTTGAATGATTATGAGAATAAAGTGGACTCACTCTTTTTATCATGGTACTAACATATAAAGCGCCAATTGTTTTTATGTTTCTAGCTTACTAATTATCTACACTACAGTATTTTAAAATTTTTCCCAACATAATTTTCCCGTTCATCGGCTCATTAAATCATATACGCGATACAGTATTGCGTTGCCTCTGCGCTCCACTTTCCCATAACATTTGTTGCACGAAATTATTTAGACATTCTCGATATACTGTACACTCGTATTAACTTGTAAATAAATGTAGTTCATTAGTTGTAAAATTCAAATATTTCCATATATAGCATTTTCTAAGACGAGTATCAAACTATTTTTCACACCATGAGTATCACTGATATTATCTTTTAGCTCACAGCTACATATGGGAAAGAAAGTAACTAGCAGATAAACGTGTTTATTCATTCAACACTTTCAAATAATTATTCGCAATACTGTACTTTGGGTAAAAATCTCTGAACACCTTAGAGTTTCTTTATACTAAATCACGCAGCAATTGTATTGTAAAACTAGCAAAACTAGCGACTAATCTACCGTTTAATTTAACTTTCACAATTACCATTGAAGGATGTGGAGGAAAAATTCTTTCTTCTATAATTCCAGTCATTGGTGCAGCTAATGCCAGGAATAATAACTGCTTTGAGATACAAGAGGAATCAGTTTTATAGTTAAATAACTTTTATTAGAAAATTAACCTTACTTTGCCAAATGAGAGAATTGATCTATAAAAAAACGATTAATAAAAATGAATTTGGAAATCAAATTTATGTGTAGAGTGAATTAAAAAAATTGTTTTTTGCTGTTTTTGTTTTGATTGTGTTATTGGGTTGTGTTTTAGTAAAAGATTTAATGAGATTAGAAGAATTAGGAGTTGAAATTCATGAGTTGCATGAATGTTGAGAGAACATCCTTGACATTTGAATAGTGTTATTGATCTGTTAGGGTCATGACTGTTGTAGAACCAATGGTTAATGAGGAGATTGTTTGTGTTTGTTTTTTGTTTTTTTCTAATTATTATTTTGTTATTTATGAGGGATGCTAGCCATTTTCTTTTTTTGTTTAGTTTGACTGGAATTGTGCCAAATTGTTGAAATTGTAATTGTGATAGTAATTTGTACCAGAGGTGTTTTTCTGTGGGCATTGAATCCAAATATAGCTGAGATATGTTGCCAGTTTGTTATATTGTTATTGTTATATATGAGCAGTTATTCAATGTAATAAATATTTTTTTTAAAGAGTTGGTTTACAAAAGTTGATCAGTTTGTATAATATGATAAGAATTGGTAAATAGGTGTGTTTCCTCTTGGAATTTTGTGGTGACAATTTGATTTAAAGCAAAATGTGATATTGTAGTATTTGGTGAGATAGATTGAATAGATTGTTATATTGTATTTAATAATTTATTGATTTTGAAAGATATAAAAAGATTAACAGTTTTGGATTGTATTGTATAAATTTTTGGTTCTTTGTTTAATTTGATAGTAGGATTTGATAGTACATATTGAAGATTGGAAATTAGAACTTCTGATTGTAGGTATGAAATGGGTTTGATATTGAAGATATATGAATTGTAGAATCATAATTGTGGATATGTTTTTTCAATATTGAATTTATGTTTTATAATTGAATCAATTTTTTTTTGAGTTTGTTTAGCATGTTTGGGATAAGAAAGATTGCTTATAATTTATATTCTATTTGTGAAAGAAGAACTTTGTTATAAATATAAGAGGTCATATGACTTGTTATGAATTTTTATTTAAGAGATTAAGAGATTTATTCAGTGTCTTCAAAAATTTTGTTACAGTTTGATATGAGGATACTGTGTTTAGAAAACCAAATGCTTAAAATTATTATCAGTTTTTTTTTGATTACTGGTTGGTTAGAGTTATCAAATCTAGGGGCCATATTTAGTCAAGTGGAACGCTACTCATTAAGAACTAACAGGCTATACTATAAAGCTCCTGGTTTTTCTTAATTTCCTAGTAGACACTCCAGTTTGGAATCGGTTGGCATAAGCTGCCAAATATAAGGGTATGAATACTAAGCAGGATGCAATTCCTACATATAATACCTGTTGGGGAGCCATATCGCACAAGACGTTAGTGTCAGTTTAGTGTTTATCTTTAAGGTTTTCTTACTTTAATAGTCAATATTAGAGGGAGTGATCTTGCTGGAGTGATTAGATAGAGTACAGCCTAGCTTGTATATTCAAACTGTGTTATATTCTTGCATACTAACAATTATTGTAGTACCAATCAAATGATTATCGTGCCATTATACTTTTTCTGAAGATTACAATCTTAAAGCCCATTGAATCAGCATATAAAATGGCTTCACATAAGAAACAGCACATAACAGGTTATGGTGCCAGATACTATATAAGTTTTATTTTATTTTATTTTTTTTAAAGTTAAATGGCATTAGATGCAATTCTTTATTGGTGACAATATACCCATTACATTAAGCATCCTTTGTAATATATGACTACAATTAAATGCTAGCCTATCAACTTTATTTATCTGATACCCAGAAGCCTGTTTCTTAATAACCTTTCCTTGTGATACCAGGGGGTTATAGGGGGTAGAAATCCTATTGTTAGTTTTAAACTACCTAACCTATAGGGCTTATGGTTTTATTGTTCTTATGAAGGCATATACTATTAGCCATCTACATAAGTGGCTTCTCACGTCACTCCTACTGCTTCTTCCTAATATGTCTGTGGGACCCTCAAGGTTGGTATGCACTTTCTAGTGAATGCTCCGGTTTGATCGCTGGTTGGACACTACCAAATCTAGGGGCCATTTGGCCAAGTGGAGTATGACTCCTAAAGGGTATTAATCCTAAATCTCCTAGTAGACACTCCAGTTTAGAACCGGTTGGCCTTGGCTGCCAAATCTAGAGACACGAATGCCAAGCAGGGTGCAACTCTTACATACTCAGGTACTATAGAGATTAAAGCTTATTCACAGAAAGGGTGGTGATTGTGTAATTTCTTCAAAGCCTTCTTACTTGATGATTAACAGTGACAGAGATAGACGGGATTGAATTAGGATGAAGTATAATCCAATCTTTATATTCAAACGCAAGGGGAATCTTGATTAGGGGAGTTGGACACATGCCTCTTAACTTACCATGTAGTCCAACTACTATAGGCATGCTTCTGGCAATCATCGTAATACTACCCAGATGATTGTCATGCCACGACACCTTTTCTGGAGATCACAATCTCGATGCCCGCTGGATCAGCATGTGAAACGGCTTCGCATGAGAAACAGCACATAATAGGTGTTGGTGCCAGGTACTATGTGAATTCTATTCAATTGCCTTCACTTGAAATTGAACCAGTATCTTGTAATCTGACTTGTGGAGTACTAACCACTGCACTATAGATCCACAGGTCACTATATAAGTTTTATTTAATCACCTTATTATTTTTATATTTATATCTATTTATAATAATTTAAAATTTGTTTTTAATATATTGTCATATATCATTTCTACTTCAGAAGAAAGATAAAGACAGAGAACTAGTGGCAAGGAGGCACTTTAGATGGACAGAACCAATATAATGTACTAAAGTTCCTAGAGGCATACCAATTAATATAATTCTGAGGTATATGAGATTAGGCAAAAGAGGCAATAATGATTTGTTTTGTAAAGATCAAGTTATTTATTCAATAAAATATAAGTTTAAGCCTGCCAATTCCTAGGTGAAATTGGAGCCTTTATATATATGTTTTAATTATAATATTTTGTATATGATAAATATGTATTAAAAGAAATAATAAAAATATAAAAGAAATGTAATATTTGTCAAAACAATTATCTGTATATGTTAATATAGA